TGAAACTTAAATTCCTTAAATACGGGTAGGACATACCTCTGTTATATTCATTTGCATTCATTCTTGATCCTAGAGTTAAGATGAGAGGTATATTTAATGTTCTGCAATTACTTAAAGAGTACACTGGTTGTGATTACAGTTCATATTATGCTGATGTGAGAACTGAAATTTACAAGTTGTTTAACAAATATGAGAGAAAGTTTGGTGCAGCTAGGTCTCAAAGGCTACACAGCCTACAAGCCATACAGGTAAAAGAAAATAGGCATGGGGAAGGATCTTTGGAGGCCCTAGATCCGGTGTTGTTAGTCCTTCCCCTGCCTCTGCACCCACTTCATCTACATCTGGTTCTGTTATGTGTGAGCTCACAGTTTATGTTGACAGTGACAATGTCACTGCATATGAAGATGATTTTGATTTACTTCTCTGGTGACGTGACCACAAACTAACCTATACAATCCTATCTATCATGGCTAGAGATATTATGTCAGTTTCTGTTTCTACTGTCTCTTCAGAATCATGTTTCAGCTTAGTAGGAAGGATCATTGAGGAGCGGCGACGACGTTTATTGCCTGAACTGTAGAGATGCTGACTTGCATAAAGGATTAGGAGTTAGGAGAAAGAAGGTTACAGCATGATGTTAACAACCAAGAGTTGGAGGATTCCTTCAAGAATTTATATCTCAATGAAGATGAAGCTGGTACATCTGGGGGTGCTGCTGCTGGTGCATCTAGGGGTGCTGCTGCTGGTGCATCTGGGGGTGCTACTGCTGGTACATCTAGGGGTGCTGCTGGTACATATGGAGGTGCTGCTGCTGGTACATCTTGAGAGTTGAGACTTGAGACTTGAGACTTGAGACTTGAGAGTTGAGTGTGATCTGTAACTGTAATATGTATCTGTTTTCTGTGAGACTTGAGACATTTGGAACATGTTTAAGACTTAATTAAGAGCTGTGCTGCACTCTTTTTCTCTTTCTAGGGTTTCTCACAAGGGTGAATTTTACCTAGAAATGTTTTTAATGAGGCAACATTGCACAAACAACTCAGTTATCTTAATTGTCTCTCTTGTGTCTTTTGTTTTGTTGGATTTGGTCATTTGGAGTTGAGTTCAATTTTGATTTGTGAATGTGAAATTTGGTAAGTGATCTGATTGAGTGATTATGAATGTGAACTTAGAAGTTGTAATATGTGAACTTAGAACTTATAATATGTGCTTGTGATCTGATTGAGAATGCCATATTTGCTAAGTGTTGTATAAGATGAATTTTTTGAGGTGATTTAAGGGGACCGGGCTGTGGGCTGGCACGGCCCGCAGAATTGGCCGTGCTCAATGGGCCGGCATGGCCTGACTACCGGCCCATAGGGCCATGCCTGGGCCGTAGAGCAGGCACGGTGCACGATTCGGCATGGCCCGAGCAGCCCGCGTGCCGTGCCGGCCCGAACCCCAGCGAGCCGGGTCTGGCACGGGCCCGGCCTGACGGCCATATATACCTACATGCCACAAAAAGCTTTAGTATCAGAGAAGGCACTTGGCATTTCAACTACATTCAGCAAGGTAAATAATTGTCATAATTATCACCTACATGGTAAAGATAGTAAAGATTTCACATTCATCCTAGTACAATATATACAGCGACTTGTACCCACATAGGCTAATTACTTATGTTTTACCAAGATTAGATATGAACCTAAGCAACAATAAATAAAGAGGGCATACTCAATTAGCTGGATATATACAACAACACTGCTCTGTTTTGTCAAAAATGGACACAATTGGCTAGTTGGATATGTACAACAGTAGTAATATATTGCAAAGGAAAACGAGAAGAAAATAGTAAAAAAATATATGCAAGAAGAAGCAAATATAGGAAATACAAGCAACTCAATACACTAACATCGACCTTTTCTACTTCTTGGCTATGAATTACTTATGTTTTAGCAAGATTATATATGAACCTATGCAACGACAAATAAAGAGAGCACACTTAGTTAGCTGGATATGTACAATAATATTTCTCCGTTTTGTCAAAGGCCGACACAATTAGCTATAGTTGGATGTATACAACAGTACTAGAGATGAGCCTCAGCCCTCATATACCTTACTTGAGCTCCAACACACCCAAATGGTCGTTATACCCCAAATGAGACGAGAGAGTCAACAAGGAAAGAAAATCACCAGTTTCTTTACCCCGTAGATTGATGGAGATAGGGCTGCAAAGGCTCGTGGCTATTTTGGTCCTCGGTATATCCAAAAGGTCACAGGATTAGCGAGGGGAGCAAACTCACGGTCTTTTCTGGTTCTCGGTGTATCCAAAAGGTCACAGGGATCAGCGAGGGGAGAAAACTCACGGTCCTTTTCTCACCCGTGGATTGGGCTGGGATCAGGTTTGGGGTATCCACTCCAAAGGAGCCCTTAAACGGGAATTTATATCACTATTTGATGTGTGGCCGTCTAAGCATAGTTCTCACTTTATTACCACCTCTCAGTTTTTTTTTTTTGAAACTGGGACCTCTCAGTTATTGGTGATAGGTAGCTGTCTAAACTCTTATTACTCGTACCATCAAAATTTTCACTCTCATAAAATAAATAAAATATTTCTAAACTCATACACCTCATAATTAGTAATTACCTTGACCAAACGTATCTATATAGATTTAGGGCAGTCCTAATGCATAGTTTGTAGAGGTAGTTTCCAAGAGCAATAAATTCCAATATAGACCTAACTCTTCCAATACATAGTTTTTATAACAGTTTCTAAGTCTAGAAAGAATTAATAACCTCGTGTATGCTTCGTAAAGAGAGCATGATAAGTTGTAACAAAGATTATATGTAGCAACTCGGTTCCTTGGTGTAGAAACCGTTTCTCCCTTACTGCGTACTCTCTCTTCATTAAATCTTTTGTCACAGCAGTAAATTGCTTAGGTCCCGTTTAGATCCAAAAAATTTTGGATTTTAGTTACTGTAGCATTTTCGTTTGTATTTGGCAATTAGTGTCTAATTATGGACTAATTAGGTTCAAAAGTTTCGTCTCGCGATTTCTCACCCAACTATGCAATTAGTTTTTTTTTTGTCTACATTTAGTACTCCATGCATGTGCCGCAAGATTCGATGTGACAGGTACTGCGCAAAATTTTTTGGAATCTAAACGAGACCTTAGTTGGCAAGGTAATTAAGATAGATATAAACTATCAATAATACCTCGTTGGGAGCGCTCTTAATCGGCATAGCTTAGTTTATAGAATAAATTAAAGTGGTTTGAATATATATATATATATATATATATGTTATTATATACACTAAAAATATGGAGGGCTTTCGTCTAACTTCGATGGTGTGCGCGCCCGCCCTCGATTACGAGTCTCCGAGTCCGAGCCTTCGTGTGCGTGCCCGTCTACGACTCGAGTCTAATACGCCCCTGCAATTCGTATTGCCTCACCCGGCTTGCCTGCGAGGCTGCGAGCACGAGGTGCCGGACTTGCCAGGCTACAGCCAGAATCCTCTGGCTCTGGGAGAGTCACCAGGATAGCCCGCTCTTGCTCGGCAGCAGCAGCCGCCGTTTCAATTTCAAGGTGTCGGGCTTTTAGTTGCACTTTTGGGCCCAGTTGCGCCTCTCACAAACCAAACTGCAAAAGCCCATGCTTATCACATCCTCATACGACAATAAGCTCTCCATGTTTTCTTTTCCAAATTTACATTTCTTGGAAATAAATTCTATGTGTAATTTATCCAATAAATTTCAAGGCACTTCAATTCAATATGAAAAGTAATTGCTGGAATAGGAGTCTTTGTTATAAATGTTTGCATCCTCATACAAAAGCACATCCTTGTTAATCTCATGCTGCCCCAAAATCAGCTTCGAATCCATTTTTTAATCCAAACACTTTTCCACCATCAAATCTGAAGTCACCAAAATAGATTTATGGATCAGATTCTTGATTCCACGGTGTACCTCAGGGGTACTATTAATACATAAGTTTCGTACATCGTGGTGAAAAAGTGTTAGTAATAGAGTGACCCTAATAGCCACTACTTGAGTGGCCTATGCAATAAGCAAGCCCCCTACACAATTCTATATATGTAATTATACTTGTAGATTTCCTAATATGTTTGTCTAAGCCGCAAGCCACTTGCGTCGCCATAGGCGTGGACAAAATTTCATGACCCTGGTCCAACGTACGGGCATATATCTGGTTTAGATCCCGTTTGGCAGGGCTTCACTTCACTAGTGAAGCCATTTTTTTTTGGCTTCAGCTCCACGAACAATTCCACCGGTGGAGCTGAAGCGGTTTTGGTAAATCGTTTGGAAAAATGGCTTTCCTGTGAGAGCATGTTTTTAGGGGCCTGGAGGAGGAGCCGGGAGAAGCCACTTTTTTTGGCTCTGTCTCACCCCAAATCATTGTGAGAGCATGTTTTAGGGACTTCACCAGTGAAGCTATTTCACTTTACCCCGTTTGACAGAAAACGGCTCTAAACGGCTCTTAAAGCGGGTGGAGAAGCCCTGCCAAACGAGACCTTAATCTAAAATTTAAATGAAGTGAGTTATGTTAATGTTGATGACGTGTCTACGGCTTAGGATACACCATTTTTTATAAAGAAACAATTTTTATAATTGTCTTAAGTTAAATTATTCTAAATTTGATTAAATTTATAGAAAAAACATTAATATTTTATGAGATCAAATTAATATCAATAGATGAATCATAAAAATATATTTTCACAATTTATTTATTTAATATTATAAATGTTCAGTGTTTTTCTCTCACAACAAAATAGTATCAACCGCAAAAACCATCAACCAAACAGGGTTGTTACTCTTCTATGTAAAATTGACAAATTTAAGATAATTTAACATTAGATGATTGATTTATTGGTGATGGAGGGAGTACTGAGCTTTATTGAGCTACGAATTCTAGATCCAAATAGTAGCGCATATACAAGGCCACACCATCTGTCCTGAAAGAGAGAGAAGCGAAGGGGAAAACCCCTATAGGCAGGGGGGAGAGATGCCGGAGCTTCCGGAAGTAGAGGTGGCGCGGCGGGCGCTCGAGGAGCATTGCGTCGGGAAGAGGATCGTGCGGTGCGTCGCCGCAGACGACACCAAGGTCATCGACGGGGTCGCCCCCGAACGGTTGGAGGCGTCGCTGGTCGGGAGGACCATCGCCGCCGCGCGGCGCAAGGGCAAGAACATGTGGCTCGAGCTCGACTCCCCGCCGCATCCCACTTTTCAGTTCGGTCCGTCTCCGTTCTCATGTCCCCAGATTGTTTCCGTTTGGTTTCCTTACCTACGTCGCGTATTGGTCCGTATCTTGGTTCTTGAGGTTTTTATTGTGTGGTTTTGAAGGTTAGCAATACAGAAGCCTTTTTTGGTGATTTGAGATTACCTTTTCTTCCCCCTTTTAATTTCGAGTTATTGTGTCCAGGCTATTCTTGGGCTCTTTCCATGCTGCATTCACACAACTTTAGGGAATTCCATGTGCCGACGGCCGAGTTTTATTTTCCTGAGGTGTAGTGTAATCTGGAGCATTTAGTTTTTCCACAGTGTTCAACTATTAGTTTCAATTAAAATGCAAAATTTTCCACAGTGTTCAACTATTAGTTTCAATTAAAATGCATGTGTGTAATCTGTAGAATTTAGTTTTTCCAGTGTAAATGAATGTAATGGTCCCTTTTGGGCTGTTGCAGTTTTCCCTTCTATGAATTGTTTCAGAAGTCTTGATTTTTTTCAAGCTGTAAGCATATGAGATCTTACAGAGATGGACATAACTTTTAGCCTTTGCTACAGGTATGGCTGGGGCTATTTACATCAAAGGTGTGGAGCTTAGCAAATATAAAAGGTTTATTCTTTTCACAAATTTCATTCTTTTATGTTACATGTTTTAGCTTAAGGCAGCTCCGCAGCTAACACCTCTCACTTAAGAATTAGCTACATAGTTTAGAAACAGAATAGTTGGTGCTACATAGAAACAAAAGAACTATCACAATTTTGGATTAATTCCATTTTGCATGCTATGCTGTAATAGCAGATACATACAATTATCATTGTGTTAGTTGGTGCCACCTGATCCACTTTGATGGTATAGAAGGTGTAAGCATGAGGGCACACAATAAAACCAAGCCTGCAGTCAGTAAAGCCTTAATCTGTACATTGGAAATGGTAATTCGAGTTCTAGAAATTACTTTTGGACATGGTGTAGCTAGATTTTTCTTGAAAACTAGTTTCAAAATACCACAGCTTTGCTTTGACTTGCATACATTTGTTACAATGAAGCACTAACTAGTGATCGAAGTAGTGTATTGGTGACCATATCAGTGTCCAAAATGGCATCCTCTGGGGTTTGGATGGTTTATTTAATAGTCCTCTCCTATAATTCTCCTAAAACAATAACAATATGGTCTCAATCCTATGATAAGAAGGGCGGGCCTGGTGCAAGCGGTAGAGTCTTACCGCCTGTGACCGGAAGGTCCCGGGTTTGAGTCACGGTCTCCTCGCATTGCACAGGCAAGGGTAAGGCTTGCCACTAACACCCTTCCCCAGACCCCGCACAGAGCGGGAGCTCTCTGCACTGGGTACGTTTTTTTTTCTTCTCAATCCTATGATAAGGCTGGAAGGAGTGCATCCCCTGTAAGAAATTCCTATAGGCCATTCGAAGAAAGGCACCAAATATGAATGTCTGTAACTACAGGCTGCAAGACCACCTCATTACAGTTGCTGGACGGCCGATCTTCCAGCAAGAAAAGGGATCCCTCATCCAGAGAGGTGTCATCGTTGTGATCAATCTGAGGAATCCATCAACCATCCTCTCCTTTCTTGCATCTTTGCTTGGAATTTTTGGTTCAGGATATTCCAAAGGGTAGGCCTACAGATCCTTGCCTCTCAGATTGGAGAAGATTCTTTGATGATTGGTGGGAGAAGATTATCCTTGCTATTGGAGAACAACTGCAGAAAGGCCTCAACTCCCTTGTGATTCATGGGGCTTAAACCATTTGGGATTGAAAGCACGTATAATGTGTGGATGTATTGCATTGAGTCCTCGGGTAGTATAAATAGAGTACAAGACTTGGGGGTCAAGACGCCTCTCGAATACATATGGCAATACGGGATTACAGTATCCCTAACTACCAAATGTACTCTAACATCCCCCTGTAGTCATAGCGGAAGCATCACAGATGATTAGACTAGAGAAGTCGAAGACTAGCATCCCCTGTAGTCGTAGTAACGCTGCAATGCAGATGCGACTGGAATAGAAATTGACAAGTAGCTCATGAGGATGATAACCCTTTTAGTCTCTGAAGTAGCTAAGGTCAAGGTGGACGTGGTCGAAGCCATGGAGGGAGTTGCAAACCCGAAACATCAATACAGGCTCATGAGTACACATAATCACCAGCTTCCCACTGACAACTGCGTCAGGACAAAGAGAGAGCTGGCCGGATGGCCAATGTAGACCGGGCTGCTCAGACGTATCGACAAGCGCTCACGTCATCGATTTGCAACATTGGCGGCGACTTCTCGTAGGTGGTAGCAGTAGGCGGACTTGGATTGAGGGTTGGTGTAACAAGGATCAGCAGTATGGGTGGCGCCAGCCTAGATAGGCGACAACTAGGAAGATGGCTTGACCACGAGCAGCGTCCTTGGGAGGGTCAACGATCGAATGTCGAGAGATTGGCAGCCAGGGTGACAACCCCGATCTCTCATCGGGAAAATAAAAGAACATAGCAACAGATCAGATGGTTGCTGCAAGGCCAGGGGCGGCGCAAAGATCCGACGTCCACTTGCGACGACGTGACGACCAGCCACCACTATGCGGCAAGCCGGCAACCGATGTCCCTAAGGGCAGCAGTCCGGCGTCCCCAAGGGCGTCCTCTGTAGCCATGTGCTCACGCTCAAGGGGCAGCGACAGTAGTGGCGCAAGGGGGGGGGGGAGGCAGATCTGGTGTGGCTAGGGAGGGGCTGGTAGTTCCCGATGATAGTGACTCCAAGGGACGACATAGAGGGTTGGCAATGACAAGAGTAGTGTGGCAACCCATCGATGCCCAGCCATGCTGATGATTTGTTGCTGCTCAACGCCAGGGTGGCAGCATAACCTTCCTATGATGACACTGCCCTTGGGGGAGATCGATCTTCTCGGGGGTGGTGCGGCGGTGTCAGTGGAAGCCTTGGCTCTGGATCAAAGCCCTAAATCGTGATACCATGAAAGTAGAAAAATTGCGTATAATGTGTGGATGTGTTACACTGAGCCCTCGGGTGGTATAAATAGAGTGTAAGACTAAGGGGGCAAGACGCCTCCTAGATACATATGACAATACGGGATCCCTAACTACCTCTAACTGTAATAACAACAATAGATGTGTATTTGATGGTGTACCTCTTTGTTTGGCAGCCTTATTGCTCGTTAGCGAGGAATTACACTTATGGGGTTTGGCCGGGGCTAAAGGTATTTCTTACCTTTTTGCCCAGTTGTCGGAGTAGTGCATGTTTAGGTCGCGATCATATCCCTGTATTTTACTGGCGCAAATGTGTTTGTAACTTCTTTGGGTGTGTGTGGTTTGTAAGGGTTCTTTCCCTTTTTCTTAATATAATGATATACAACTCTCCTGTGTGTTCGAGAAAAAAAAAATAACAATAGGGTTCTAACTTTTTAGTAGAGTTTCAACAGACTATTAATAGATAATTCTGGTTCTGTTATTACCAGGAAAGTCTGTACACGAACTTATCACATATACAATTTGCATAGTTTGGTCACATGGATGTTGATTGCATATGAAGACTAACCAAGAAATGTATAATATTGAAGTTAAAAATTAGCATGAAGGGGTGAAAAGACAGTGAAAATAATTCAGCTTATTTTCTTTCATGTGGCATTCCATGTAGGTCGCAGTGAGCCCAACTGAGGAGTGGCCCTCAAAGTACTCTAAACTGTTCGTTGAAGTATGTATTCTAACCATATAACCTTCTCATAGTATTCCTGTTCTCTTATGAATTGAAAGTATGTTTGTTTCTGCTGGCAAATTACCTAACTCGTTTATACACAATAACACAATAACACATATTATTATTTGTTTTAATATAAGGTCCAATGACTTCACAGATGAATCTGAAATATCTTATATGAGCTATGACCTACAATTTCATGATATTGACTTATATTTGGATTGTGATTCTTAAATATCTTACTTCTGATCCAAGCAAATTGATGTCTTATGTGGTGATGGTAACTTCCATGGTATCCGATTCAGATAGTTGTATTTACATGAGAAGCAGTAACATTGCAGAAGTTGAAAAAAAAAACATATTGAAATATTCTAATTATGGACTTGTGTACCTGCTGGGGCATTTGTTTTTCTTGCATGCTAGGTGGGCTTTCCTTCTTTTTTAACCGCAAAAGGATATTGAACCAACAAGTTGTGCTAGTTATTTTTTTTATATATAAATATGTTCTTGTTTGTTCATCTTCTTGTTAACCTGTTGCAGATGGATGATGGCTTGGAGTTTTCCTTCACTGTTAAGAGGCGTTTTGCAAAAATAAGACTGCTTGACAACGTAATAGTCTATAGTGATTATTGGAAAAGTTTACTCTTCTATTTGCTGTGATGTTTGATATGTCTAATTACTTTTGTATGTTCTAATAGCCAGAAGCTGCCCCGCCAATTTCTGAGCTTGGACCTGATGCCTTATTTGAACCAATCAAGCTTGATAAATTTATGAAGTCATTAGGTCAAAAGAAAGGGCCAATAAAAGCCCTTTTACTTGATCTGGTATGAGTTTCTAAATCTTGGTGTGGACCCAAATTGCCTGAACCCAAATTTTAAGCAGATAAGGTTTGTTTATGCTAGTTCCTAACGCAACTCTGAATATAATTCAGTGCTTTAGTCATATGTGAAGTGGTGTGAAACAACTTAGAAATATCTTGCTCAAAACACAAAAAATTCAGACCTTAAAAGGCATTGATTCAATGTTTCAGTCAGTTATTTAAGGCCCCATTTGTCTGGGCTTCTTCTAGATCTGGCACTGTAGCGCACTATAGTGTAGCCGGAGGAGCCCCAGAAACACAGCTCCGCCTGTTCGGTAGGCAAAAAAACACAAGGGGACGGAGCTGTTCTGTTTGCGCTACAGTACAGCACAGTAACTCATGGTGACACGAGGAGCTGGAGCTGCTCGGACCGAGCCCTGCCAAAGACACCCTAAGAGAATGTGGTTTAGGATACCAATGTGTCTCCTCAATCGTAGTAGAAACAATAATTTTATATATAAAATGTTATTTTTTTTGAAACAATCGTATAAAATGTTATTAGCAGGTGCAGATGTACTCTAGGTTCTGAACCCCTTGTTTTGCAGAGTTTTATATCAGGAATTGGCAACTGGATGGCAGATGAAGTACTTTATCAGGTCTGTGCTCTGGACATTGCTTCCACTGATTTACAGTTTATGATCCATGACAAAAAAAATTAAATATAACTTTTATGTACTTCTAGTGTTGCACAATATGGATATTAGACAATTCTTTTATTGTTCTTCTGAACGAAATTACCATAGATAATATTGACTAGCTCAATGTTGAGCTTGCTGCTACTCTATTTACCTCAGCGCAAGCAACTTCTCTCTGGTGTCATAGGAGACAAGTGTGGTACCCCATGTAGGGTCGGCACTGCCATGGCCGCCAGCAGATTCATGAACTGTGTCGCCACAGGAGATCCATCATTTTAGCAAAGATTTTTGCTGCAACACAAGCAAGGAATTGGAAATTATTATTATCATGTTTTATTGGCCTCTTATTACACTTGCAATGTGCCTGGTGCTTCACATTTTTAGCTCATAATTAACTATGCCACATATTTTTGCCTAAGGTTAATCTTGCCACACTTCTGTAGCAAGGAAATTGATCACCTAACCTTAGGCAGACTTCAGCCAAAACTGTCTTTAGCATTTGGGCCAGGGGCCAAAGATAGGCAAGCTGGTGCTGTGGTGGCAGCCAAATATTAACAAACAAAACTTGCAGCAGCTTGAGGTTAGGTGTGGCGACCTTAGTTTGAAATCTATAAAAGGTAAGTGATGCTTACATGTTTGTGTAAACTTCGAAAACAGGGACTAGCTTCCAAAGGCTTTTAGGCCCTCTTTGGTTGGGCTTTTGGCTTTGGCTTTGGCTTTTGGCCTCAAAAGCCAAAAGCCCAACCAAAGGGGCTGCTTTTGGAGGATGTTTTTTCAGAAGCAGCTGCTTTTCCGTAGTTCATTTTTGAAAGCTGGGTTGACCCTGCTTTTGGCTTTTGGCTTTCTGCTTTTCGAAATTGGTGGAATAAAAAGCTCTTCCATAGTTGTTTCAAGAGAGATAAAGATAAAAGGTATATTTTATACTTGTTTAACCAAACAGCTTTCAGCTTTTCTACAGCTCACAGCCCACAGTAGCTTTTCCACAGCTCACAACCCACAACAGCTTTTTCCCACAGCCACAGCTCAACCAAACAGGGCCTTAGTCCCAAGCAAGTTGGGGTAGGCTAGAGTTGAAACCCAACATGAGCCCCTAGTCACGGTTCCGGCACGTCAATAGCTGCTTTCCAAACTTTTGTGTCTCTGTTTGATAATTTAGTGGCTCATCTTTTAAACACTGTAAGTTATAACCACAACTGCACAAGTATGTTTGTTTGAAACAAGAGCGATCTGCTAATTTCAACATGTACACTTAAGCTCGTTTCACATTTGCACTGCTTTCAATATCTGCAGTGTTGTAGAACTAATTTGCTATTTTGCTGCATGCTTCACATTTAGGCAAGGATCCATCCTGGGCAAACTGCATCGAAGATATCAAAGGACAAATGTGAGATACTCCATCAGTGTATTAAAGAGGTAGGTCCATGCCTCCATGGTTGGCATCCAGAGTTTGCTCTGTTGCAAATGGATTGTAGGCTTGAGAACTTTACTTGGATCTAGAATTAGTACGTGATGATGCGTCTTCCCTTAATTTATTCAAACAGTCAGTCTGAAAAGACAATAATTGTGTTTGCTAATCGTTGGAGACTGATACGGCTGATATGGGATAGAAGTGCTTTAGCCGTCACCTTAGCATACCAAGTGGGCATGCTATGTTATTTCATACATCTAAAGCTGTTGACTAAACAATTAAGGAAAGTCTTTGTGTCAGCATTTTATGTATACTCATTGACAAGTACAGAAAATTCATTGAAATAAGACTTTAAGAGTCATGATAATGCTATCCTTATGCAGCGAAAAGAGTGTGACATTATTGGACATCCATTTTCTCTTATTATGCATGTCATTGGGATGATAATTTCATACATAGTAATCTTTGTTTACCTTACACAGGTTATCGAGGAGTCCTTAAAAGTTGGTGCTGGCAGCAATCAGTTCCCAGAAAAGTGGATATTTCATTCCAGGGAGAAGAAACCTAGCAAGGTTCTTCTTCTTTTTTGGATGCGCGGGGTGCTTATGGTGGCCTATCAACATTAAATGTTGCATTTGTTGGTTGCAGGGAAGAAAATTGACTTCATTACAATAGGTGGTAGGGTAAGTTCTTTTGTATCAAACCAACTCTATCTTGTGTGATCCTGCTCTTACTCTCAATGTGCTTCTATATTGTTCAGACCTCAGCATATGTGCCAGAGTTACAGAAGCTGGATGGGACAGATGCGGCAGCCAGCAGATCTAAGGGAGGCAAAGACAAGGAGAATGATGACGATACAAAGTCAGGAAAAGGTAGAAATGCTCCAAAACCAGCAAAGGGAAGAGTGAAGGCGGCAAAAGGCTCGTCAAACAAAGCTACAAATACTAGTGATGATGGCGACGAGGAGGATTATGAAGTGGAAGAGGCAAAACCAGCAAAGCGGGGAAGGAAGCAACCAACAAGGGTAGCTAACACCTCATCTAAAAATGCTGGCAGTATTCATGGTGATGAAGCTACTGATGAGGAAGATGCACGTCCAGCAAAGAGGGGAAAGAAGCAAATAGAAAAGACCACAAAGCGCTCATTGAAGGAAGCCAATCATGAGGACAGTGATGAAGAAGCAGTTGGTAAGATAGAGGCCAAACCTGGGAAGGCACCAACAGAGGCAAGGAGCTTGCCAAAGCAAGTTGATGATGCTGGCCCAGCAAGGAGGCCGCAGAGGAAAGTGCGGCAGCCTTGAGCATGCAGGGAATTAAACAATGTATTTTGCAATTAGATTCTCGACTGACTTCAAAGTTTTAGTTAACTTAGGTACTTGATGTGGTGCAGTCGTGCAGAGGAGCCTGTTTCTTCTGCACCGGCACATGATATTGCGTCAGCCGGATCACGGTCATTTTGTTGCTTATGGCCAGATCGACAGATTGAAATATCTCAATGCAGTTGTGTAAGCAATTAAAAACACCGCTAAGGGTTGGATGCCGACATGACGTTGCCTGCATCATCACCTGTCTGGAATGAGATTCTCTAAAGTGAGGGAAAGCTTGCTTACACAAGAATCAAGATGGCTGGCCTAGCATCCAAACAACATGTACTGTTCTAACTTCTTGCTAGGCAAGGCTAGGCAAGCTGCAGCAAGGAATCCAAACACCCTCGTTTTCCAAGGATTTCGGGTTTGTTTGGTTCGGGCTTGTTTGGTTTGTGCTGTGAACTCGCCAGAATGTGCCAAAGAAGTTTAGTCCAGCGTTTGGTTCGGTGCCAGAATGTGCTGCATGTTTGGCTTGCCATAAAAATGTAGACACCATGCTTCAGCGTTCTGCAGCTTTTGGCGCAATTGTTGGCGAGCAATTCTGCCGCCGCACACATGTCAGGTGTGATAAGATGACACCACAATCCAAACAGGCCCTTGCTTACGGATGAAAACGGATCGGATACGGACGGATATCACTGATATTATATTTGTTTTTATATTTCTATCCAAATTTGGATTCGAATACGGATAGTGTCAATCATGCCGGATAAGATACGATTAGATATCGACATCATAAATATACGATTTGAGTATTCAGATACGGTATCAGATGTTGAATATCCGGACTTGGATACGAACAGATTTAAACCTCTCTAAACGGATTCGGCGGTCGGAAAATATCCATACCGTTTTCATTCCTACCTTGCTAACAGGGGCTAGCCAATTCTACACGCTGGCGTTAGCAAGATTTGGCTTGCCTGACAAAGCAAAGAGAGGCAAAACTAGCCCAACAACCAAACGTGCCCTAAGGCCCTGGCATGATCACTACGCGAGACGCGTGCTGTAGAATGCAGTTTCGTTACAGAACGAGATTAGCCACTGAATACTATGATGGATAAACATCCCTGGAACCACAGCTCCTAAACAGAATCTGGTGTTTAGGTTTTATATGTTTGCTAGACTTATTCAACTACTACAAGACTAGAACGCAGCATGTATGGATATGTATAGTCCAGTATTACAAAACAAATGTCTATAGGGTTGTTTATATTTACGATGCAAATATTTGTGTTCTAAGATTTGCCTGTCTGCTTCATATGGGAGGATTTGACGCTGCCATAGTCACTAGCTCAAAGCAACTTGGCTGCTGGTCTGCACATTGGTGTTCCATTCGCCAAAGATTCCATGGAGATGAACTGCCTTCAGTTCAGATGCAACTTAAAAAATCAACAAATATATTCAGCTGGGTTTAACGAGCTCCAGTAAAGACACCACACTTATTATATAGGCATCTAATTCTACAACTATTGCAATTTGTAAAGTGTCCCGCGAGTATTGTTCTAACTGAGCTAAAACTGGTAGCTACCAAATTTGCTTCTAACAAAACAGTGGGTAATAAAATTTCCACAACAAAGTGTGCATTCAACAAATAATTTCAAATCACTAGTAAACCAATTCAAAGATAAGACGAACAAAACAAAATTACTGTAGGCATATCATGGATTGTATCAAATTATTGTTTAAATTTCATGTGCCCATTCTCATGAACAACTTTCCAATAATGGAATTGACACTTTCCTGGCTCCGATTGCAAAGCTAAAGCTCCAGAGGATACTTGGCGTTGCACTAGCACTTGTGTTAAAGCTAAGAGCAACTATTAACTATCCCTTGCACAAAGATCGACAGAGCACAACGAGCAACACGGCACAATTACATATCACTAAAAGTAAGCATGACACAAGCCCCAGTTATGCCATCTACGGTCACTATAAATGCCATGCCATATATTTTTCATGATTTAGAAGAACTTGCACCAGCAACTTGAACCTTTGATGCTCGGGAAGCACCAGCTCCAAGTTCCTGACCTGCGGATATTGCTCCCAGTCCTGAAGAAAAGAAAATACAAATTTAACATTAGATGAGGAACCAACAAGTTGTTGCCCATGAAATTAATTCTAAGTTGGCAGAATAACAACAAAGCTGTTATTGCTACAGCCACAAATATAATAGGTCGTTTAGTTTGGAGAAAGGTAGTCATTTAAGGCTCATTGTATGAAGGAAAGAGAATTTCATGAGAAATACGAGATCATGTCTATTTGGTCAAAACAGACTGAGAATCACAATAGTGTAACCAATAGCATATGCACTTTCCTGTTTAATGACAGGGCTAATACCTCTGTTCTTCTTAATGTTAGCCCCTCTACTAGAGCATGTACATGGATAAATAACCAAAAGGAATCATACAGTTACCATAGCTCAAGTCTTTGTTTCTACTTCCTGGGAGAGTAAATATCCTTTTTCCTCCATAGAAGATTTTTCAAGGGATGGGGAGGGACCATACACCTTTAATGTTTGTTCTAAAACTACCCCTTGGCAGATTGTAAAGTGGAGTTTATATCATAGTGACAAAAGATTTGGAATAATGTCCAGAAACTGAAACTATTGAGATCTAAAAAAAACTTCCAGCACTATTATTACAGCAATTGGGCATCTTTGTTTTTTTTCCAATCAGAACCTCTGATCTGATTCAAGAAAAATAGAAAAAAAAATATCTTCAGAACTTGAACAACTTAGGGAAATGAGGGAACAAAACCACAAAGACAACAGGAGAAGGAAGAAATGATCGCTAGGGTAGAAGGCCCCGATGGCTCTGTGGAAAAAACTAACTATAACTTCTCGGGAAGTACTATAAATAATTGTTTTATTTTGATCCTAGGATCAATATTCATATTGCTTTTGATTTCTAGAATAGGGAAGATAAGGTGACTAATCTAGAAGAAAAGATACTAGTGAAGAACTTTACAGAAGAATAGATTGGTGAGGCAAAATTTTGACCAAATGTTGATGGGTCAATTGTCCTACTGGCCTGTCTTTTATGTTTTAGGGCTATTGTTGATACTAATACTCAAAATGATTCATTTCTTTAAGGACAATCGGGAGTGTAAGCACAAGCATCACCTAGCAAACTATCCACTTAAGTACAAAAAAAAAAAAAAGAATAACAAAAAAATAAGAATAATTGTTGGTATTCCTAGTGTTAAAGACCTCAATCTGTCTTTTTAGCTTCTTGGGATAAGAGATGCCAAGTGCGAGATGATAGATTGTGGAAATCTATAACTGATTGCAAGTATAGAATAGAACAAATAATCACCAGATTCTATGCTGTGTTATGGGTGGAAGATAAGAAATGTGCTTGTTTTTAGGATTGATTTGGTCAAGTACAAAGATACTGAAAAGGAGACTTCTAGGCATGGTGCAAAAGTGGAAGATTAATGTTTTATTGTGTGATGAAACAGGAGGGGAGACCCTTCCTGCATTTCTATGGAAAAGGGAGAATAAACAGTGTCTATGCACAAGCAGGATAAGAGAGATAATTTATAGCATCAATTCCTACCACAAAATACTAAGCGTCTCAGCCAGTTAAACATAGCAATTTTGAAGGAAGGTTTAGCCCTTTGAAATCTGGACAGTGCAAAATAATCCTTGAGTTTCCCAAGACAAAGGGATAGAGATTGAACTCAACACCTGGGGGGAAAAACCTCCACAGAGGCATTGCATTAAGAAGCGGATTTCAACACAAGACCGAGAAAGGGGACCAGAAACCGGACTACCAAGCGACACGCTGGAAGCGACATAACCCAGTGAGACCCCCTTTTTTGTGAGACCCAGGGTTCGAACCCTGGTTGGTAGCACCACAACTAGACACCTTGCCACCACACTACTAATGGCATCATAACAGGGATAGAGTTAAGTGCCCATTAATCATTAATGAAGATGGTGGCATTGTGATGTAACCAAATAGCCCAGCACACAATGATTTGTATTTCCTTGAAGCATGGAAGACCAGGCCAAATTCTTTGATCAACAAGTATATCATCCATGTCCCAGTCAAATATGAGGAACACAAACGAACTTGACTGAGAGAGCAGGAGAAGAGATTCATAAAGTGGAAGATAACGTGCAAGCATATACTGAAATGAAGCTGATGGACCTGTTTAGCTGAGAGGAAGATATCAAGGCCAGTCTAGGCCACTAAAACTCTGGAGTCCAGAATCTTCTGCTTCACTAGGAGGTCGAATAATTATATAGGTATAAGTTAAATAGAGATCATAGCAAAAGGTGGATCTGTGTTTCATGAAGTGACAAGCACAACCTTTGGGCTTTGGTAGCTTAAAATTTCTGGTGATAATGTAATAATATGTGTTTGGATGACTGTAAAACCACAATGCTGATGACATTTCAATCAGAAAACCAGGATGCAACCGTTTTATCAAAGCAGTCACTGGCTGGCCAAATAGCACTAGTGTATTACCACAGCCACATTTGCACAAAATAACCAAGCATACATTCAAAGTTTAGAAAAAATGTGTAGGAATATCATCATCTGCATTTCTAAGTTGATCAGTGACACTGCCAGATCACTAGGGAATACATGGTTGAAAACAGGCACTGGGGCTAATTGCCGGAATATGTATAATAGGCGAATAAAGTCCTAGGCATCATGTAGTGTACCACCCCCCTGTGGCCCTTGGACCCTGTCGGTAGATAAGAAGTGGAAAATCCTGAAATACTCATATAGTTAATGACTTTTTTGTTTCTCCCTCCTGGATACCATCTTGGCTAATGCCAAATTTTGACTGACAGTTAAGCCTAGTTGCTATGTATCTTATCTTTACTGTCTTTACTGTTTCCTGTCATCTATTTTCAGGCTTCTAAGCCTTGTATTAAGAATATGCCCAGCATCCACTTTAGTGGTTAGAATATGCTGAGGAGTAGGTAGACCACTTTGCTATATAAGCAGTGGCTAGGACCTTCTTGTATCCCAAGTATTGCTATCTTCAGATTCAATCCAAGCGGCCTATGGCCAAGCTGCCCTCTGGGCTTACCCAAATCTGAGATCCATTTGTGTGTATGTGGGCAACATTGACCAATCATAGAGAAAGCATAATCAATCCATAATATGTAGTTATGTACTGTCCATTTAAATATGATATTTAAGATAGGCTAATTAGTTAGAAAATGAACTAATTACCTTGTCCTGAAAATCATATATTTAAAGTCAGAACCTGATAAATTACTAGGCATATATATCTATTTTCAAGCCTACCCCAACTTGCTTGGGACTGAAAGGTTATGTTGTTGTTGTTGTATATATCTATTTTCAAGATTATGCTTTGCAGGCACATATACACCATGATTCATATTTATGCCTTACTAACTGATAGTGTTATCCTAAACGCTAAACGGTAAACAGTCGGTCACCTACCGTTTAGCCCATTATTCGGGCAAAACGGGTGTTTAAACGGGAAAAACGGCATTTTAAACGGTCAAAATAACCGATTAAACGGAAACGGTGTACCACCGTGTAGCGTTTAAACGGGCTAAACGGCCGTTTAGGCGAACAGTGCTAACTGAAATATGGCAATTTGTGAAATATAGCAAAGCATGAACCAACCAGTGATGTACCTGGAGTGCAGAAGGCCATGTAGGGAACTACACTGTCTATGTCACCGCCATTGTATACCTTCTTCACCTGGCCAGATTTCAGATCAATACTGAATAGGCCATCCACGGTCTGCACAAAGAAGAGTGCAACGCCATCTGCAAAGCCAACCAATTCAGTAGAGATGGAGTTGGCATCAGCAGGGAGCAGTGTCCGGAGATCAATGACTTTGCTTTGTGCCCATCCCGCATCTCCAACACTACCACTACCAGCCTCCCATTCCCAAAGATAAAGTTTGGAGTCACGCACGGCGCCAAATCCAAGCCTAGCATCGTCCTCTGTGGCCATAAGCACAATGCGCGGCCCATGTTCAAGATGGGACAGTGGTAGATCAATGGTAAAAGTTGACCATAAGCTCATTTCGTAAGGCAGGTAGAATGCAGACATTTTCCATGTGCTCAAATCATACTTGATGATTTTGGACCTGAATGTTTGGATGCATATCTCAGACTTGAAGTAAAGCGCATTCCCCACAAGGGCAGCGCACGCCAAGTAGTCCACATCGGCATGCTCAACACAATTGGTGGGCAGGCTCCAGTAGCCAGCCTCCGATGAGTAGACGAGGCCGAAGAGCACCCCGTGACCGCAGCCCACCACAGCCACGAGGAAGGGTCCACGGCGGCAGTTGAGGTGGTCACAACCCCCAGCGGCGCAGAGCACCGCCGCATTCCAGCTGGTCCACTCCTGTTGCCTCGGCAGCTCAGGCAGCTTCAGGTGGTCGCCAGTGATGGGATCCCAGATGACGAGGGGGTCATCGACGGGCCCGCGCTCCCGGTCCCAGTTAGTAAGGAGGACGCGGCCGTGGCGGGAGTCGAGCACGAGCCAGCGGCGGCGATCAGGGAGAGGCTGGCGGAAGCGGAGGGAGGACGTGGGGATGAAGCGGGAAGTGCCGGCGTGGCCTGAGGTGTTGCAGAGAACGCCCAGAACGGGAGGGGGCCCTTGGTGGTGGCGCGCGCAGAACCTGCGGCGGAAGCCAGGATCGGAGGCGACGCGGTACCAGGGCTTGCAGACCAAGGCGGCGTGGAAGAGGCTCGCGGGATCGTTGGGCGGGATGCGGATCAGGATCTCATCGATGAGGTCGTCCGTCAGCGGCGCCGGCGGCTGCATGCTGCTACCCCTTGGTTGGATTGGACGCCGGGCTTGGGGAGGAGCGGTGGGAGGGTTAGAAAATTGGCTATATTTTCTGGAATTTCATGTTTCTACCCTACGGCTAAAGTGTAATTATAATTTTATTCTTACTTTTTTAAATTTTGTGATTTTGTCCTCACGATTTTAATTTGAAGCTTCCGTTTATCTCTGGTTTGTTGCGATGCTAAATATTAGTAGTAGGTAGTGTTAGTAAAGTAGGAACATTCCCTGCTAAAACTAATTTTTTATATATAACATTAATATATGATATTATGTATACTTTGTGTGTGTATATATATATATATATATATATATATATATATATTTGACTTGTATATTATTATAAGCTAAGAGAAGAAAAACCAACAGAAGAATAGGCAATTAAACAAATAGCATATGTAAATGACTTTACGTTAATAGATTAGAGATTAAAAGTATTGCACGTAATAGAGATGATTGGACATGTTATGTAATTAATAAGGGAGACATGGCTAATAGAAGAAAAATCAATAGAATATTTGATCACGTGATGAAACAAATAAAATACGTGTAAATGACATTACATTAATAAATTAGATATCAAAAGTACTGTAGATAATAGAGATAATGTGAACATCTTTTATAATTAATAAGGGATGATATGTATAGCTTGTACGAAAGGATTGCAAGTTAGTAGGACACTTAGTGAGGAATGATATTGTCGGTGTTTCGAGTAAACACCGACAAGTATATTTCTAATATTGCGCGTCTAGCCTGGATAGTGTGTTAAGAGGACACGAGGTTTATACTGATTCAGACAGAATATCCCTACGTCCAGTTCGTTGTTGCTGCTCATGTTACTAGCACTGAAAGTTCGTAATAGGGGTTATAAACGGGCGAGAGAGGGAAATGTCACAAGTCTCTGGTGGAAATAACGAATGGGTGCCGAGAGCTCGGTCGCTGCTCGGTTATGTGTTCGAGGTTCGATGCTAGTGGTTCTGATCTGATGTGGTGCGATGCGTTCTCATGTCCCTTAATGGGATGCCCTACTTTCTCTTTTATAGGCCAAGAGAAAGTACGGGTTACAACGGAAGAAAAAGGGAGAACGAAAGGGCGAGGAAGTCCTTCAGGGTCGCCATGTCTTTCTTTTCCTTTCTGTGGGCCCCGCTAATATGGCAGGTGGTGACAGGGATAGCTCCACGCCGATGACGCCATACCCTGACGTTGTCAGCGGGTCGTAACGCCCCACTCCGCCCCGACGGGTGGCTCGGCGAACCAGCATACTGATCAACGGTCGTACAGGGAGTAGGCAGCATAGTGACCACGCGTCCATCACTGTGGGCGATGTGAGTTCCCTGGAATGACATGTCGTGGGGATGGGTCATGTTGAGACGTGACCGCTCCCTGCACGATGCTAGAAGTTTGACCTTGGGTTGTACTTTCTAGCCCGTAGTGGTTGGCGGCGGCGTGAGCTTCGTTAGGAGCCATGTCCAGGGATCGGGCGAGGCGGAGCCCACCCTCAGACGTTGGGCGAGATGGAGCTAGCCTTTGGGGGTCGGGCGAGGCAGGGCTAGCCCTAAGACATTGGGCGAGGCGGAGCCCGCACTCAGGGGTCGGGCAAGGCAGAGCCCGTGGCCTCAGTGTTGGGCGAAGCGGAGCCCATCCCTAGAGGTCGGGCGAGGCGGATCGCACGACCTTAGGGTTGGGCGATGCGGAGCCCGCCCTTAGAGGTCGGGCGAGGCGGAGCCCGCCCCTAGAGGTCAGACGAGGCGGAGCCCACGGCCTTGGTGTCGGACGAGGCGGAGCCCTCCCCTAGAGATCGGGCGAGGCGGAGCCCGCGGCCTCGGTTGGAGCTGTAGTCACACCTTTGACTGCCTGGATGGAATAACGTATAACGACCATTAGCCCCTCCTCTTCGGGTATCCTAGTATTGGTCCCCGACAGTAGCCCCCGAGCTTTCGTTGGAGTAAAATACTCCTTCGGTGGCTTTTCCGAACGGGAGGACTCTGAGGGCTTTGGCCTTCTTCTGTAGCCCATGACGTAACCTAGGAACGGTGGTTCCCTTTCGTCGAGACCGGACCCTTCGCGGGTATGGCCATGAGATTTGGTGGTTTGAAAAAGGTCTTTCCTGATTGGGGCCCTGGTATCCTGTTCGGGGGGATCCGGCTAGGGCCAGCTAGTGGCCGACTATAGATTCTCAGCGGTCAATCCATATAGTTCTCGGGTCTGTTCGACCGATCCCGAGGGCTCTCTGCCTTCCTTAGGGAAAAAACCATGGATCATATCCAACCGAGACTCGAATATGGGCCAGGATGCCCACGGCGCTTGTGCGCCTGGGTGCTGGTCGCTAGCGGACCTAGCCCTTTCTACTTCCTTATCTTGAAGGTGCCTGTAACACCCTAGGTGTTTAGGCTTCCACTAAATTGCATGTCATTTCATAAACATGTGCATTATCTATGTCATCATGCCATTATCATTGAAACATACATATGCAACATTTTAAATTGTATGTGTTTCATGCTTGATTGCTTAGAGTGGTAGTAGTGCAACATGTGAATGTAACATGAAACTCTCATACTTTGAAACATGGCAATATGGTAGTAATGTGGCAATTATAAAATGACAATAAGGTCTTGAAACATGTGAAACATTGCATTGCAACATATGAGTGAATTACTTGTTTTAGTTGCTTTATCACATGTGATCATTAAAGGTTGGTATAACAATTTGGTAAAGTGGTTGATCATGGTCTATTACACCTTAACTATACTTAGGTTACTTGTTGGGACATTGTACATGTAGATAAAAATGACCAAAATGCCCACAAGTGGAGGTTTGACTTGAATTGACCCTTGGAGTGTCACTGTTTGACTGATTCAAAAGTCCAACTTAGAGACTTTGCATGGCTATGCACTCTTTACAAAAGTTGTAGCTAATTTATCAAGGAACAAAAGTTGTTTTATGGCCAACTCATGAAAATCTGTGGAACATGGTCAAACATGGCCCACAAGTCAGATTGCCATGCTGAATTCACACTTAGAATTTTTCCTAAGTTGTTTTGGCGATTTTCAGTTTCGAGTATCCCTGTTTGGAGGCTTGTATCTCCCAATCCTAACTGAATTAGTCTAAGCTCCAATTAACAAAGTTGTTGTACTCACTTGGATCTTTAATTTTGTTAACTACACCATGAACCAGATCGCCACCATTTGGGAGTTATAGATCATCAAAAGTACGCTGTTAGTCGGTCGTTGGATCACTGAATCGATGTTTCAGGCGAGCTATAGTGATCTTCGTTTCAGTAAACACCCGACGTGTGGGGGACATGCGTCGCCGGTCGCCTGACCGTGTAGGCCACGCGCCGCGGGCGCCCTGGCAAGGCTAGCCACGTCATGGAGCACCCCAGCGCCTGCCCGACCGAGTCGCCCGCTCCATTCTCATCTCTCGCCTCCCACAGCGCGCAGAACCGAAGCCGTCCACCATTGCCAGCCAGACCTTCGCCCTCGCCTAGCTCCCACGTCCTGGCAAAAACGCGTCGCCCAGCTCACCCAGAGCCTCGCCGTGTTTCCCTCTACCTCCTCTACCCCACCGTCGTGCCAATTTCGCCTTGGCAAGGATGAAATCGCCGTTTTTCCCCACCACCGCCTTGTCAGACCTCGCCGGAGTTAGCGCTCCACATGGCCAGCTCTCCTCGCGCCATTGCCGTCCCTCATCTGCCTTGCGCTAGGTCTAAGGAGCACTGAGGAAGCTCGTAGGGTCACCGTTAGGGGCCGCAACGCCGTAGTTTCGTCGGAGCCGGTCAAGCCGCGGCCGAGCGCCGCCGTGGCCATCGCCACCCCCTCTAGCTGCGTCATTAGCTGCAATAGATGGTTCCCCTATGTCCGCTTGGGTGAGGCGAACATGTTGGCACCGTTGCCTTCGCCGGAGGAGCCACCGGCGGCGAGTTGCGCCGTCGTCTTCCTCCGCTCCCCTGTTTCTCTCACTGACACGCGGGTCCCTTTGTTAGTCGCCGCTGCTGAGGAGGCAGCCAGCCTAGGCCACGCCGAGTGGCTGGGCCGCTTGCGCACGCGTCATGGGCCGCCATTCCTTCGGGCCGGCCCAACAGTGGCTGTGATTTGTTTCCTTATTTTGTTTTGCTTTATTATTTCACAGATTTATGTTGATATTCAAAAATATGTATTTCCTAGTATATAGATCCAAATGCTATGGTTCCAATTTTTGTTGAGTGCCTAGTAATGTATAGTATTTAATAAAAATATTATATGAGCACATGTTTTAGAAATTCTGGATGAATTAAATAGGACTTTGAAATGTGTTTTTGGATACATGCAAACTTGTTTGAATTTTATCTTGAGTTTCTGTGGTCCAAAAATTATGAAATTTTGTGGGTAATCTATTATTGCTGAGTAGAAGCTCTGGTTAAAATTTCAGAGCTAGTACATGTATAGTTTTTGAGTTATAGAATTTCTTTTTATCAATGGATGAATCTTGTGTGAATTTTTATAATTTTTCTATAGATCCAGTATAGGTAAAATTTGGTGAGTAAGATTCTTATGCTAAAATAATGCTAGGAAAAATATGAAATCTGTTGCTTGACACTTTTCATTAGGGTTTCCTAATTATGCTAAAAATAGGCATGCCACTTGTTATTTTGGATATAGCAAGTTATGCTTGCTCAATGGCTTTGAAATTTTTATGGTAGTCTATGTGAAGCATAAGATAGCTACTGTAATTTTTGTAGATTTTTATGAACAGTTTTACTATATGTTGCTTTAATCACCTAATTAACTAAATAAATTAGAAAATGATATTAAATGATTTATTTAGAAGTTGGCATTATACTTTCTAGTGTTCCTCTGGTATGTGTAACAAGCTGGTAAACTTGGTTTGATCAAATTAGGCTTTTACATCATCATCAAATAATTAAGTTAATAACCATGTCATTGCGGGACAGATTCTAGGTTTGCTGGAATTTGATTTGGTTAACTTAAGAATCATACTTC